AACACATACACTATTATCGGTTGCCGCACCTTGTTGACGCTACCGTATTATGACTCCAATCGTTCATATCTTTTCGTTTAAACAAAGACTCCGGGCGGTTTGTTGATTTAGCGTCTAAATGTTGCTACAATGCAGAGTTCAGGGTATTTAGAAAAACCACGCCATAGCATGCTAAAGACTGCTCAACGACCGTGGCATGCCGGCAATGCTATTTCGTCCAGGCCTAAACACCCAACATCTAAACATGCTCAAGCTGCTGTCAAAGTGGAGGATTGGTCTACTGCAGAATCCGGGACATGGTACGAAGTCTGGTTCCTGCCGCCGATGTATCACACTCTTGCATCATCCAGCTGCTGTGGAAACACACAGGATACCAAGGTCAGAATCAACCGTTTACAACAGGATGCGGCACAAATCAAATATCGTACCTCAGTTGTAACCCTGATGCTCATCCAAATATTGCGGCTGACCACTATGCGGTCGTGAGTGGCCCATGCCCGGGGGTTGTGTGGCAACGCTGCTGCTCGGCTGTGCTTGCGTGCGCGGCGGCAGCATGGTGGGGGCGTGCGGAACCTGCAGCAGTGGAGCCGAGGGAAGCTCCGGCATGAGCTGCCGCCATTCGCGCCACCTATGCCAGAGGCTACGCTCGGCGAGGCTCATCACGTGCTGCTTGGTGCACCCTTTGAGCAGCTGGTGCTCCGACGGGGTGAGTTCAATACTGCGCTGGATGCGATAACCCTGCGGCCTTACCACCAGTGCGGCAGCCTTGTATCCCTTGGCTGCCTCCTCCTCGCTCGGGAAAGGGCCCATGCGTATGGGGTTGCCTGGGGGCGGCATCAACAGCTTGGCAACCCAAACATCTCCCTGCGCGGTAACACCTACGTACTTGTTCCTGGGACGTCCGCCGTTGTAGCCATCATTTGTAGCCTCGCACACACCAACCTCGCCTCCGGCGTCGTGCATCCACTCCCCGCCGCCTTCACCCGCGGCACTCATACTCGGGATGGCGGGCGGTTGGAACGACTGCTGCGGGGGGGGTGCGGGCTGCGGGGGTCCTCCTTGCCAGAAGAAGGGCATCCCGGGCGGTGGAGCATAAGGTGGCCCGGCAGAGAACCCTGGGTATACGGGACCTGACGGGGGAGGCGCAGGTGGGAGTGGAGCGATCGGTCTCTGCGGCGGGGCAGCGCGGGATGTGCCCGGATGATAGTATGTCGCGTCCCGCCCCGGTGGCACGGTAGGCTGATGAGGCTGTGCAGGAGCGGGGCCGGGTGACGGCGAGGCAGGTGCATACCCTGGCTCACGGTGGAGCTGCTGCGGCGTCTTGGTCGGCCCCAATCCGCGATGCATGCCGGAATCCTGCAAGGGGGGAGGCCGCGGTGTCTCTGAGCCCCGGGTCGGGACTAGAGTCCACCCGCTTGGATGGAGATGCCTTGTCACCGGGGCCATGCGCACCATGCGGGCCCTCTAAGGACTTCGCAGTGTCCCGAGCCTTCTCCATTGCCCCGACGCGCTCAAACAGTTGCTGGCTCACACTGGTGAACTTTGACAGAAGCTCGGCATAGTCTGCGCGCAGCGCGGCGACTTCCTTCTTCAGGGTCTGCACGTCGGAGCTCGTCTCGCGGACGACACCGCTCATCTCCGAGACGTCGCCACCGGTTGGCATGGCACCTGCACGGCTGAGCTTCTGTGGGGGAAGGGTGAGGCCAGCTGTTTGAAGGGCAGATACAGTATGTAGGCGCACATGTCAGCCCGCCAGTTGCGACGGTAACGCAGGGGTGAAGTGGTGAATGCGATTGGTCCGCCGAGGTGTTGGAAATTGGTGGTTACGTGCAAGTGGAGGTACATGCTGGCGTAAACACCACAGTCGAGACTCTTCTCGGGCTGACGCGCTATCTCGAATTGGATCTGCGCATAACAACCGTGAATGTTTAGTACATATTATGGGGGGAGACATGTGCAAAGGCCGGAAACTCAAGCATCTCACGTCGAGTGCGCGATAGGGGATGGAGCCAATTCGGGACTCGACGTCCGTTCGGGACAGCTGGGCGTAGACACGGTTCAGCTCCGACGCGAGAATCCTGCCATCGCACGTGGAAAATAGATCAGCTAGTTTCGCGCCAAACCGGTTACAAGCACCCTTTGACCGCCTAAACTTACAGACGGACGTTTGTGATGACTGCAGGGTTGGCTGCATGATGACCTGTGGAATCATACAGCCACAGCTTGGGGGTGGGGAGCTCCTGACCACCGTCTGATGATGTCACAAGAGTGCTTGCGTTCTCCAGAACAAACAAGCTGAAGTGGAACCTGAAAAGAAGACGATTGTAGTGATTAGAGGACCCTAGCCATTAGCAAAACCACGGGCGGGAGATTGGATCACGTACTCAGCCGCGGCAAAAATTGCCACATAGTCGAAGCGCAAAAAGGAGTCCTTGTCGTCGCAGCATGCGATGAGCTTCTTTTGTGACACCCAGTTGTCGTAAGCTTTGACATCGAGCGCGATCCACGTTTTTCCGTTGCCCAATGTCGGATGGCGGATGTCCAGGATGCTGTACGGGTACGAACAGGGGGGTTGTGTTGCGGCCGTTAGAAGGAAGCAGTGTTGCAAAAATGGATCCGCGAGTATTGACAAGCGATAAAACTTCTCCATTGACCCGACAGGACTTACATGTTGTGGAAGTCCAGTGTGTTGTCCGTGATCGGTGCATCGTCCTGCATGTGGAGAGCGTCGGCAACGTTCAACGTAGTGCCGAACCCATGCCAGTTAGAAACCAGCTTCGTGGGCCAGTTGCCACTCTTGACCGACGGTTCCTTCCTAGCTCGGCACGCCGGGGTAATGCCCGGGAGCTGCTTCATGCTCCCTGCCATGTCCGCAATAAGATCATGTGCCGGTGGTAGCGACTTCTGGGGGGGGGGGGCGGGGGTTGGAAGGAATACGGTTCTGGCGTGGCCCGTGCCGGGTGCGCCCTAGTATTCGGGCCAGTCGCTGGTTGCTGTTCTGCACGAGTCGTCTTTTGACGTTTTTGGTGCTGGCCGCCCCTGTTACGCGAGCGGCGACCGCTTGAGACTTTAGTAGCATCCTCTCCGGCCGTTCCGCCGTGATCCGACGTGGCCTCTACTTCCAATAGGTCGTCATCCTCCTCGATATCAAGTGCGACTGGGTCGTCCGGCCGGCCCGTAGGCATCTCTAGTGGCTAGAGGTGAACGCGGGTGAGTCTCAGGCTAACGGCAACGAAGGAGTAAAGGGCTCAAACTTGTGAACAACGGTGAGCGGGACTGCTAATGCGAGATTGTTTGAAACGGAAAGCCAAACATCGAGCACAGGTCGGTGTGTAATGAGCAAGAATGACAATGAATATGAATGCGAGGGCCTGGGGTCTTGTGACTAATCACGGGCAACAACTGCAATCGCTTGCGGGAATTGCACGCTGAACAATTCGAGCACCGATTGGATGCATATCGCGTCGCGAACGCCGTTTTATCCGATTCCCGTCCACGTGGAACCGTGTGCTGGTTTATCCTCATTCGCTCATGCTCGCGGTCTGTTCTTTAGCAAATCGAGATTGTACACAGGGCCAAGCATGCGGAGGCAAACCCTCATGGGTGTCCCTGAATGGTGAGAATCACATTGGTAGATTCCCCCGGAGGCCAGGTGGCGTGCAGCTACCCTAAACCATAAACTTTGTAGATAAAATGCGGATTGGACTTGGTTCGTTGTAATTAGCACGTTGGCCGTTTCACGCATGGTGTTAATGAGCACATGTGGCAACGGGGCTAAACGTACCACGTGGGCAGCCTTGTTCATGAACGGCTGCCTGCGATTGGTGCTCATTCTGTTGCTGTGAAATGTCATAACACATTCAGCCAGTGCATCCGCGTTGACGTCAGACTGGTGCATGCATGGTTTTTGGTGGGAAACTTGTCTGACATTGTTTACCGTGATGAATAACCCCGGATCGTCCCGAAACGTCACCTTATTGGTCCACGTTCGATGTGCTCAGTTTCCGTTGCTCATTAACACATCGTCTCAATGACTGCCATTTGGCGCTCATAGGACCATCGACTTGGTGGCGCCTTGTCGAGCCTAAAGTACGAGCTGTCACACGTAGGCCTGTCAACACTGTACTACGCTTGTATGGCTCCAACAATGTTGGAGGGTCTGGTTTGGGTTTCTGGCAAAAAATTCGGACCTGACCGTACACTTACATCTACACTACCAATTTGCAGACATAGTGCCGGGACCGCGCGCCGCTCGCGATAAAAGGTGGGACGTGTGCCTTTTGGGTTGTGCTAAAATTTTAGCGCGATGAAAAAAATTCGCGAGACCTAAACCCGCGCCGCGGCAATTCTCTCGCCAAGACCAGACCTGAGCTTGTTTCCGAACGTGTATTGTAGCGAAGCACCCAAACACAAGACCACAACCAGTGACGCGGCACCGTTCGCGTCTCGGTATGGTTTGGCAAAGCCTACGTGCTGAAGCCGAAGCCTAACCAAACCGAGCGTTTCGGCAAAAAGCGAAGATGATTGGCTGTGGATTTTGCACTCATGGATATCCCTGGTATGGCAACATTCGGCCGAAGCGAAACCACGCCTCGCTGCCACTCGGTAGCCGAATCACTGGCCGTGAGACCTCACTTGCCACGTCATGGATCTCGTTCGGTAAAGCTAAAAGCGATACCACATTTGGTTTGCAACTCCGAGCCTTGGCGTAGCGCTACGGGCCATCGAAGTTCGTTACGGCTGCACTCGAATCATGCCATAGCTATGAAAAAAGGTCAATCTACTGTGGGTACAGGCATTTCATTAAATGCTCTGTGTCTCCGCCTTGTTCGGCCATACAAAAAGTCCTACACGCATGCCTTCGGAGTGGTTACAAACACTACGTCTGTATTTTTCCTCTCAACATAGTAGCAGCAAACCTGCCTATAATGTACTGCTAGTACCTGCTCTACATAAAACATACTCATCGCCACATCAAAACCCATTCTAAGGGGTCATCATCACACCAACAAAGCGAGCACACCAGCGACCAGCACAGTAAGCATCGAACCCGGACCAAAAAACACTGCCGAGCCTGCTGCTTTGCCAGGGCTGGTCGAATTACTGCTGCCAGCAACACTAGAGTTACCGCCTGCCGGACCTCCAGGTGCGGGCGGCGACGAACCTACAGGAGGTGACGAACCTGCAGGAGGTGACGAACCTGCAGGAGGGGACGAACCTGGAGAACCCTCAGGTGCAGGCGGGGAGGGGGCTGACGGAGGGGCGGCGCCGTTTGTCTGGTTGTGGCAGAAGTCGGGGACGGTGCGGTTGAGAACTTTGAGGTATTCGGGGTGGGCGGTGGTGTCGAGGAGATTGGAGGGGCAGGTGGCGGGGAGAATGAATGGGTCGCAGCAGCCTGCAGCGGCAGGGAGGGGCCTTCCTGTCATGTTCCAACAGGCCTTGAGGGTGGGCTGGAGGAAGAGGAGAGGGGGGAGAGGGAGGGAATGGGGAATGAACAGGAAGAGAACAGGAAGTGAGCAGTCGACAGAGTAACAGCGGCAGGGAGGGGCAAGGCGGTCATGTTCCAACAGGCCTTGAGGGCGGGCTGGAGGAGGGGAAGGATGGTGGGAAAAAGGAATATGAAAAGAGTGAAAACGAGAGAGGAAACAATCACATAGAGTTTTTTGTACACCCTAGCTACCAACCAGGGTTTTCACTCACATCCACGAAGTTGACTTGCAGGTCCTTGATGCCCACCGCAGTGGCAAACCCTTGGAAGAGTTGTCAGGTGAAGGTGTCTGGGCTGTTGACAAAGGGATGCGGCACCAAGCTACACTGCTGCAAGCATGAACCAGTAGCTATCAACCAGGGTCTTACATACACCCCACTCACATCCACGAAGTTGACTTGCAAGTCCTTGATGCCCACCGCGGTCGCGAACCCCTGGAAGAGCTGCCGCGTGAATGTGTCTGGGCTGTTGACAAAGGAGCCTAGCGTGCCGGGGAAACCGGGGACTGGGATGGGGACGGGAGAAAAGAGAGGGCACGGGGAGGGGGAAAGGGAAAAGGGAGGGGGGAAGGGAAAAGGGAGGGGAGAGAGGAGCGAAAACAAAAGGGGAGATGAGGAGATGGGAGATGGGCTGTTGAAGAGCCCACACACACAACACTCGCGCCCTTTTAAACAATCACATGGCACTGGCACGTATTCACAGCGCCATAGGATTGCTGCGACACCTTCTTGCACACTGAAACAGGTTGGCACACTCCCATCCCTCCCCCAACCCCTCACTCCTCAACACTCACAGGTCACCTCCTTGACAGCGCCGTAGAATTGCTGCGACACGCTCTTGCACACCCACACAGGTTCCCTGTGCCAGCAAGATACCTCACACTTACTCAGCTACTCACACACATACGCTCACACGCACACGCCACCCACTCACACCCACACACCCACACACTCACAGGCGACGTCCTTCACAGCGCCGCAGGATTGCTGCGACACCCTCTTGCACACGGAAACAGGCTGGCACACCTGAACTGACACTCCCATCCCTCCCCCAACCCCTCCCTCCACATCACTCACAGGCAACGTCCTTCACAGCGCCGTAGAATTGCTGCGACACGCTCTTGCACACCCACACGGTGAATTCTTTCACTGAGCTAGCCAGACATCCTACACCCACACAGCCACCCGCACTGACTCCCCCCCCCTCCTCCCCCCTCCCCTCCCCACCCCCACTACTCACATGTCACGTCCTTCACAGCGTCGTAGAATTGATGCGACACGTTCTTGCACACCGATGCAGTGGGCTTGGGGGCCAGCGCGAAATACGTTCCGCTGTCTGCTCAGGTTTGGAGGGGTTGGGAAGGGTGTGAGGGGGCGAGTGGGATGATTAGTTTTCAGAAGCCGTGGGCTTGGGCAGCAGCGCGAAATACGTGCCGCTGTCTGCTCAAGGGGGAGGAGGGGAGGGTGGGGAGAGGGGGGAAAGAAAAGGGGAGCGGGGAAGGAAGGGGGAGGGGGAAGATCTGAGGGCTCCAAAAAGGGACTTGCACATTGACGCCGTGGGCTTGGGTAGTAGCGTAAAACACATGTCGCTGTCTGCTCAAGGGGGAGGGAAAAAGGGTGGGGGGAGGGGGAAAGGTTTGAGAGCGGTGGGGAGGAAATGCTACGCTATCGACTGCACGAGTGTTCTGCACACTGACGCTGTGGGCTTGGCTTGGGTAGCAGCGAGAAGAAAACCCGCTGTGTGTTGTGGGGGGAAGCAGTGGGGAAGTGGGGAAGGTTGGGAGCCGTGCGGAGGGGCTTGCACGCCTGTGAAACAACTCCAAGAGTGCTCTTCCATGAGACATGTGGGAGCAGTGAACATAGAACCAGCGCTGAACTCCAACCGTAAGTCCTCCTGGGGTTGCGCGCCTGACAACCGCCCCTAAAAGTGCTCTTGCACCCGATAGCTTCTCAGCATTTTTTTTTATATTATTTATTTACATAATTCTCAAAAGTGACTCCGGTGTAGCTTTCTTGCCACGAAATTCGTTTTCCTGAGAAGCCTGAACGGACGATAACCGATCGTCCTTACAAAACATTTCCGTGATTGCAAACAGGCACAGGTCTCACTCACTCGCACTCACCCGTGTACACGCAATCCCGCATATGAACTGCCCTTTTAGAATTGGTAGCATTTCCGTCTCACAAACGGACACGGGCGTCGATCTCGCGCGCATTCACCCAGCTTACACGTTTTCCCGCATATGAACTGCACTTTAATAACTGGTATTACTTCCGTCCTTACGTACACACCCACGTGTCACTCTCGCGCACTCACCTGGGTTACACGTGATCCCGCATATAAACTGCTCCAGTATGAACTGCCCCTCGGTATAAGGCCCCGTGACGTCGCATGACTGGTAGTTGGCGCCTAGCGTGGAGTCCGCTAGCTGTAGCACGAGGCTCGGCGCGATAGCCAGGAGAAGCGCCGTCGCGTTGACCGCATTCTGTGGGGGACAAGTAGGGGGGGCAGGGGGGTGAGAGGGTGAGAGTGGAGTCCGCTAGCTGAAGCACGAGGCTCGGCGCGATGGCCAGCAGCAGCGCCGTCGCGTTCACCGCGTTCTGCGGGGAAAGATGGGGGGAGGGGAGAGGGAGGGGATACGGGGAAGGGCAGGAGAGGGGATAGGGGGGTTAGGGGAAACGGGGTGTGAGTGTGGAAACTTGCCAGCTACAGCACGAGGTTCCGCGCTACAGCCAGCAGAATCGCCGTCGCGTTCACCGCGTCCTGCGGGGAAAGGTTGAGGTGAGGAAATGGGGACGGTAGAGGGGGGGAGGATGGGTGGGCGTGAGAGTGGAATCCGCCAGCTGTATCACGAGGCTCGGAGCTATCGCGAGTAGTATCGCCGTCGCGTTCACCGCGTTCTGCGTGGGTGCAGGGGGTGCGGGGGGAGCGGGGGAAGGGATAAGAATGGAGTAAACTGTAGCACGAGGCACACAGTCAGGAGCAGCGCCGTCGCGCTCAGCGCGTTCTGCGGGGAAAGTTTCGGGGGGCGGGGAGGGGGGAGCGAGGAGGGAAGAGGGGCGGGGGGGGGAGAGGGAGGAGGGAGAGGAGGAATGGGGGGTTGAGGATTTATACATCTGAAAGCTGTAGCTCTCGGGTCGGCGGCGCTACAGCCAGAAGCGGAAACATGGGGTTCACTGCATTTACGGAAACCTAATGAGAGATAATAGTCGGAGGAGACATGATGATCGCTTTAAACTCTTCGCTTGGCTGAGCCGGCTTCGCCGCGCCTACCTGCTGTAGCGAGATGACGGCCCTGCTGTAGCGAGATGACGGCCCACCTGCTGTAGCGAGATGACGGCCCACCTGCTGTAGCGAGATGACGGCCTACCTGCTGTAGCGAGATGACGGCCTACCTGCTGTAGCGAGATGACGGCCTACCTGCTGTAGCGAGATGACGGCCTACCTGCTGTAGCGAGATGACGGCCTACCTGCTGTAGCGAGATGACGGCCTACCTGCTGTAGCGAGATGACGGCCTACCTGCTGTAGCGAGGTGACGGCCTACCTGCTGTTGCGAGATGACGGCCTACCTGCTGTAGCGAGATGACGGCCTACCTGCTGTAGCGAGAGATGACGGCCTACCTGTTGTAGCGAGATGACGAAATCCTCGCACGAGCTACAGCACGTGTACTTGGCGGCAGACAGGCACCGAATGGGCGGCACTTTCGGCTTCACGGGCAGCGCGCCCGTCCGCGGGCAGAGTGGGAATGCCGCCGCCGCCGGCGCTGCCGCCGCGGCGAGCCCCGTCGCATATTCCACCGGTGCGGATGATGGTGCTAGCGTCGCGTTTGCGGCCTTGAAAGGTGTTAAAGCCAGCAAGCTGAGGGCTGTATACGTTAAGGCGAGGAAGGCGACTCGAGCCATCGGAGAGGCTATGTCTAGCACGCGATAGCAAAACTAACGATCGGAGCTATGAACCTCAGAATGTGCAATATACCTCCTTTCGTTCCTTCTTTCTTTCTTCCAGAGAATGGAATCAGTGGGAACGTTGGCAATGCTTCTCTCAACGAAAGAGTCCAGTCCCTTCGTTACTCGAACGATCGCATAACGTTTCAAGCGCGCGCTCCCCTAGCAATTAAATATGTCCCGTGCGTCTTATAAGGTTCTGCTGGAAACCACTGATCCTAGTCTCCTTGGCTGAACAATGACAGCCTCGACGCTTGGAAAGTAAGAATATTTCGAACTCAAAAATGGATACTTTGCGCTAACAGAAGTATCAAGCGTACGCGAACCGCCGAAGAATGGAGCACCGTCGATGCACCCCGAAGAACAGGGCCTTCTTCGTCGAATACGACGACGGGAAGACAAAATAGCGGCCACAGCCTGATTTGCTTTCTTTTGCCTATGCTCGGTTTTGCCTTTTGGTTGAAATCGATCCTCCTGTGACTGCCGCTCGAATCGAAGCACTACCCGCCACCGTCAAGTCCTGAAGATAGAAGGACCTAGACAGACAGACATGCGTGATGCGTTTCGCTAACCAAAACTTCAGTTCTAGGTTCGGCGTAGGGCTGTCAGGCACTCAGGGCTACGGGGTTTGGCTGGCTGGCTTTGTCAACAATGTTCTGGGCAGCTATTTGAACTGAATAAGGTTGCACGAATTACCTAAAAGCCCCCGAAGTTCCCCCATATCAATAAGCTGCTATCAAACTGACGCCATTTTTATCCGGCGGTCAAACATCTGCCACATTCAGACCAAATCGGTCCGCCGTGACCGGAAGGTCGAGCCGCGCACGAATCGAAGCTCCTCCACGTTCGGGACGGCGGAGGTACGACCACGCATCACATCTCTGTAACCCGCACGAAACACTCGTGCACGCTCGCGAATGTCACTCATATCGCAGGAGAAATACACGGCAGATCCTGCGCTAAGAACAGACACAGTTTACCTATTTCGTAACTATTTAATCAGGATAGCATGGATATCATTTATCATTCATTGACAGCACTTTCACATGGTTTTTCACACAGCACTTTCACAGCAGGCTATTCACATGGTTCTTTGCATACACGAGGTTCCACGAAATCTGCGTAGTTGTGAAAGAAGTATTCTACGCACGCTCAAACAAAATCGTGAGCCCAAATGAACTTTGTGATGGCAACCGCCTATGCACACCTAGAAAATTGGTGAGCTCGGTCAAACTATCTTCTAGATTCTGCATCCCCTCCGAATATTAGAGGGGAATAACTAGGCACCCACATTCTCTTCTCCACTTCCTTCTGTAGCTGCGCCTGAAAGCATCAGAAAAAACAAAAACGTACCATACATCGTCGTTATTCAACGACATGGAAAACCACGTTGACATGGTGCATAATGGATACATTGCAACACATTAGTTGGATACCTTGGACATGGAAAGCAGCTGGTCGGCACGCAAGTTGGAGATGCCGTCCGCTAGATCCTCTTCCGCCGCCCGTCTTGCCACCGCCACCGCCACATGGGATGTGATGTCACGGATGTGGCTCATGCATGGGTATAGCATGCCCCTGTGCACCTGATCATCTGTCATGTACTCTGCTAGCCTGGTGGGATAGAGGCAGAGAGGCATGGAGGGACAGACACATGAGTCATTCAAGGGAGGTGATGCTGCTAATGGCACTCATGCATGGGTAGAGCATGCCGCTCTGTACATCATCATCTGTCATGTACTCTGCTAGCCTGGTGGGGAAAAGAGATGGTGGAAGGGAGGGAGAGATAGATGATGGGACGGAGATGACAACTGCAGCATGCCATCTGAGATCACTCAATCCAGCTCTTCCATACACTGTGATGCCATGCCATGCCATGCCATGCCATGCCATGCCATGGAATGCCATGCCATGCCATGCCATGCCATGCCATGCCATACTCAGCACTCACTGGTGAGCCGCAGCCTGCAGCATGCCGTCTGAGATCATTCAAGGTCTATCGCTTCATGCACCCCTCGCCCGACCAAACACCACACGCCATGCCATGCCATGCCATACTCAGCACTCACTGGTGAGCAGCAGCCTGCAGCATGCCGTCTGAAATCATGCGAGCGCCTGAGAGGAGCGACCCCGACACAATGCTGATGGGCACAGGGGAGGGCGGATGGTGGAGTGGGGTGTGTGGGGGAGGAAAGGAGGGGATAGGGAGTGGGTGACTGTCGTTTAACGAGGCCTGCAGCATGCCGTCTGAGATCATGCGACCGCCCGCGAGGAGAGACCCCGACACAATGCTGATGGGAGAGTTGGGGGAAGGGGAGTGGAAGAGTGGGAGCACAGGGAGGGAATTTCGAGGGAGGTGGTCACACAAACATTGGAAGAGTCAAGTCAACCAAGGTCAGTCAACTACATGGAGTCAACCCCCTCATCACCCATACAGTCACATGGTTCATCCAAGGACGTCACCATGACATCAGCATGCCACCACCCATGACGTCTCCATGACATCAGCATGCCACCACTCATGACGTCTCCATGACATCAGCATGCCACCACCACCCATGACGTCACCATGACATCAGCATGCCACCACCCATGACGTCACCATGACATCAGCATGCCACCACCCATGACGTCACCATGACATCAGCATGGCACCACCCATGACGTCACCATGACATCAGCATGCCACCACCCATGACGTCACCATGACATCAGCATGCCACCACCATGACGTCACCATGACATCAGCATGCTGCCACCCATGACGTCACCATGACATCAGCATGCCACCACCCATGACGTCACCATGACATCAGCATGCCACCACCCATGACGTCACCATGACATCAGCATGCCACCACCATGACGTCACCATGACATCAGCATGCTGCCACCATGACGTCACCATGACATCAGCATGCTGTCATGCATGACGTCACCATGACATCAGCATGCCACCACCCATGACGTAATCCATACACAACCCGGGCCTACCCTGGCGACAGGAACACGTTGTTGGCTTGGCTCGTGTGCCCCACCTTGCCGTTCGCTGGGGAGGGGAGGGGAGGCAGAAGACGAGGATGGGAAGGAGGGAAGGGGCGAGGGGAGTGGAAGGGGTCACGTTGCCAGGCCCAGCCTACCCTGGTGACAGGAACACACGTTGGCTTGGCTCGTGTGCCCCACCTTGCCATTTGTTGCCCAGGGGAGGTGTGGATAAATCAGGGGGGCCGGAGGAGAAGCGAAGAGGGCATTATGTGCGTGGCTTGCCACGCACCGCTGCCTGCCCTGGCATAAAAAACACGCTGTTTTCTCCTGGGTGGGGTGTGGGGCGACTGAGTGGCTGAAGGGGTGTGGAGGTGACCTCATGCCTACGACTGTGTGAAGCGCACTGCGAGACCCCAACAAGCGTGTGGGATTGACACATGGTGAAGGTTTGACCACAACTCACGGAATCGGACGTCTGGGAAGGTGCAGCCACTGGCGAAGAGAGCGTTGGGTCCCAGCAGCTTGAATGCGTCCTGAGCCGTGCACTCCGCTGGGGAGGGGCGAAGGAGGGAAAGGAAAGTGTTCAGAGAGAAAAGGGAGGTGTCTACCAGGAAGAAAAAGGGAAGGGGATTAGCTTGTGGCAATAAGAGCGTTGGAGCGCAGCAGCTTGAAGGCGCCCTGATCCGTGCACTCCGCCGAGGAGAGGGGCGAGGCGGGGGAAGATGCGAAGGGGAGGAAGAATAGACGGAGAAGGGAGGGAATGAGATGATGGGGAAAGGAGGGAAATGGAAGGGAATGAGCTGTGCACTCCGCTGAAGGTGGAGTGAGAAGACGAGAGACGAGAGTGTGTCGGACGAGGGGGGCCGGAGTGTGTATAAAGAGGGAGGAAAGGGAATCCGGAACAGCAGCTTGAATGAGTCAGCGGCAACAGCTTGAAAGGGAATCCGGAACAGGCATAGAGGACGTTAGGGCACAGCAGCTTGAATGAGTCCTGAGCCGTGCACTCTATTGGGGGGGGAGAAGGGGATGAGAAGGAAAGAGAAGCAGTTGCACAGATCGTTACAGCTGTGCTGACCCACCTTGCTTCCGCACGCACCTTGCTTGACAGGCTGCAGGACACATCGGCATTCTTCATAGCCTTGAGAACGTCGTCGACAAACAGATAGCCCGGCCCCGTCAGCCCCACCGTCTGTCCCTGCAGGGTGATTACGAGCATTCCTACCTTGTTTGACAGGCTGCGAGAGAGCAAACACGGCGGGCCGAGACACATCGGCGTTCTTCATTGCCTTGAGCACGTCGTCGTCAAACAGATGGCCCGACCCCGTCAGCCCCACGAGCACGTGAGGCTTCACGCGCTTCACCACGTGCGCGAGACTTGTGCCCTCCTTGAGCCTCTCATCTTCATCTGCGCGCCTCAAAAAGTCCTCAAACTCAGGGGGACAGCTCACCCTCGCGTCTGTCATCAGGCCCTGCACAGTATACGCAAGGTCAACGCAGGTCAATGAGGTCAGGGCTCAGCCTGCTTCACCACGTGCGCGAGACTCGCCCCCTCCTTCAGCCTCTCATCCTCGTCTGCACGCCTCAAGAAGTCCTCAGACTCTGGAGGACAGCTCACCCGCGCATCGGTCATGAGGCCCTGGAGGGAGTGCAGAGCATAGGGTCAACACAGGTCAACGAAAATCAATACAGGTGACATTCTCGCCCTCCTTCAGCCTCTCATCCCCATCTGTGCGTTTCAAAAAGTCTTCAAACTCAGGGGGACAGCTCATCCTCGCATCTGTCATCAGGCCCTGGCAGGAAGGAACACGAACACAGGGTCGACGCAGGTCAACGCAGTTGACAAAGGTCAACACAGGTCAACACAGGTCAACACAGGTCAACACAAGTCAATGCAAATCAGCACTGACCAACGCTCACCTGGTCATCCACGAGCCAGAAGTTTTCAGCTGCCCGATCCATGGCGGCTTTACCCTGCCCGATCTGCCCGGCCATTGCCCTCCGCACTGCTGTCAGCACCCCCTCCGCTTCCCTGCATGAGTGGGGGGTTAGAGTGGTGTAGGAAGAAAGAGGGGAGAGGGGGGTTAGAGTGGTGTAGGAAGAAAGAGGGGAGAGGGTGGTGGATGGATGTTGCCTCCCTTCGCACTGCTGTCAACACACACAACAAAAGGAATCTGAAATCAACACACGTATGTCACCACACCACACCACACCACACCACCCTTCCTATGCACCTCCCTAAGCATCCTCCCCATTCCTCCCCCTTCGAGGGGGCGGTGAAGGGAGGTGCCGTGCTTTCAGTACGTTCAAAAAGCCCTTTCCCCTTCCCCCCTCCTATTCTCTCGCCATCCTTCCCTCCCTCCTTCCCTACCTGCCAGTGCCAGCAACCACCACTCTGGTGTCGGCAAGAGCTTTAGGGGAAGGTGTTGCGCCCGCAGCACGTTCAGAATGCCCGCCACTGCCACTCCGCCCGTGCCCTAATACAGGGGAACGAGGAAGGGGGAGATGCGAGACCAGGATGGGTAGAAAGAGGGAGAGGAGGTAGCTGCTGCGCTCTCAGCACGTTGAGAATGCCAGCCACTGCCACTCCGCCCGTGCCCTGTGGTATGGGAGAGGGGGGGTGGAGGGGGAGGGTTAGGGAGAGAGGAACTTGGTGGGTTACAGAAGAGGAGAGGAGGGAGGGTAGGTGTTGTGCTCGCAGCACGTTGAGAACGCCGGCCACCGCCACTCCGCCCGTGCCCTGTGGCATGATGGAGGGGTGGAATTTGGGGAAGAGCATTCAGAGGGAGATTGAGCGCAGAGGAGGAGAGGGGGGAGGTGCTGTGCTCGCAGCACGTTGAGAATGCCGGCCACTGCCACCCCACCTGTGCCCTGTGTGGTGCAAAGAGGGGGCGGTTTACGGGAGGGGGAGGAGACTAGGAACAGGGGAGGGTACGAAAGAGGGAGGTGAGGTGCTGCGCTCTCAGCCCGTTCAGAATGCTTACAGACATGCACACACACGCGCATATCACCCCTCCCTCTCACCACATCGCACCTCGTATCATCATTCAAAATGTGATACTGTGACTTGTAGCAATGCATGCGCACACAGGCATAAGCACTGATGCTATCCCTGCACTCCATTACCCCTCGGGAATTACCTCGATATCATCATTGAAGATGTGTGTATTGCGACTTGTATCAATGCATGCCCACATGGCACAAGCAATGATGTGGTACTGTGACTTGTATCAATCCATGATGGTGCTGGCCCACTGAATGCCCGCACACATGCAGCGCATACCAGTGCTTCCTTCGACCCTCCTGCCTCACGTCGATATCATCATTGAAGATGTGTGTATTGCGACTTGTATCAATGCATGCCCACATGGCACAAGCAATGATGTGGTACTGTGACTTGTATCAATCCATGATGGTGCTGGCCCACTGAATGCCCGCACACATGCAGCGCATACCAGTGCTTCCTTCGACCCTCCTGCCTCACGTCGATATCATCATTGAAGATGTGTGTATTGCGACTTGTATCAATGCATGCCCACATGGCACAAGCAATGATGTGGTACTGTGACTTGTATCAATCCATGATGGTGCTGGCCCACTGAATGCCCGCACACATGCAGCGCATACCAGTGCTTCCTTCGACCCTCCTGCCTCACGTCGATATCATCATTGAAGATGTGTGTATTGCGACTTGTATCAATGCATGCCCACATGGCACAAGCAATGATGTGGTACTGTGACTTGTATCAATCCATGATGGTGCTGGCCCACTGAATGCCCGCACACATGCAGCGCATACCAGTGCTTCCTTCGACCCTCCTGCCTCACCTCGATATCATCATTGAAGATGCGGTACTGCGACTTGTAGCGATCCATGAGAGCATTGGCCCACCGCATCTCAAAGTCTTCAAACTGTAAGGGTGTGTTTGTGTGCACGCACCAACATACAAGCACGCACATGCAAGAGAGGAGAAAGGAGGGATGGGTGAATGCGGTACTGTGACTTGTAGCGACCCATGAGCGCATTGGCCCACCGCATCTCAAAGTCTTCAAACTGCAAGGGCATGTATGTGTGCACGCACCAACATGCGAGCACGCACATGCAAGAGAGGAGAAAGGAAGGACGGGTGAATGCGCGAGAACACCGCCTCCATGAACTCGTCCATGAGGGAGAGGCAGTACCCTCAGGCCAGGCGATACCTGCACCAGATGCCACCTGAACGGATGCTGCCTGCTACTCGTACGACTACCTACCTGCACGATCACGTTGGGCCAGCGCGAGAACAGAACACCGACACCAGGAACTCGTCCATGAGGGAGAGGTAGGCCTCACCCTCCAGTCCAGGTGATACCTGCACAATACCTCCCCTACATGCCACCTTCCCTGATGCCCACCTGCACGATCACATTAGGCCAGCGTGAAAAGACAGCTTCCATGAACTCGTCCATGAGGGAGAGGTAGGACTCACCCTCCAGTCCAGGTGATACCTGCACAATACCTCCCCTACATGCCACCTTCCCTGATGCCCACCTGCACGATCACATTAGGCCAGCGTGAAAAGACAGCTTCCATGAACTCGTCCATGAGGGAGAGGTAGGGCTCTTAGACCAGGCGATACCTGCACCAGATGATGCTGCCTGCTATCCATACTAGTACCTACCTGAACAATGACATTGGGCCAGCGCGAAAAGACCGCCGCCATGAATTCGTCCATGAGGGAGAGGTAGGCCTCGCCGTCCACGCGGGGGTGGCGCAGCCCCAGGTCTGCACGCGGTTAGATGGGGTTAAAACAGGTGGGAACGGGTGGGAACGGGTGGGAATGGATTGGAGTGAGTGACCGTGTGACTACACACCGCCTCCATGAACTCGTCCATGAGGGAGAGGTAGGCCTCGCCGTCCACGCGGGGGTGGCGCAGCCCCAGGTCTGGATGGGTTGGGATGGGTTGGAAACGGGTGGAAATCGGTGGGAGTGGCTTAAGATGCGTTGGACGAATGAAGGTTTGAGTTCACACCAAGTCTCCAGAAACGTGTGACTTGTCCATAAGAGGAAGGCAGGCCGAGGGGAGATTGATTGTTGAGAAGATTGTAAGAAGACAAACGCAAGAAAACGTACGATCTATCATGCAATGAAGGTGGGGGATCTTCTAAGAATAAAGCAAGTCTGCTTACAGAGGGGATTCTTTATGAGCGCCTCATTGTTGGTACCGACATCAAACATAACTGGAAGCACCTGCGAGAACAAACAAAAGAAGAAGAAGAAGAAGAAAATAAAAAAAAAAGGAACGAGAAAAAGCAACATTAAGAGTATAAATGACTTGAAAAACGAGTACCTGGTGTGGTGACATTACTACCCTGTTAGGGGTTATGCATGCAAGCGAGCTGACATTTGAGGTTAGTAAAGTACGACCATCACCCAGTGATACCACCCCACCCACCCTGTGTGGCGTTATACCTGTAGCTGTAGTGACAGTCAGCTCATACTGTTACTGTTATACCCCCAGGATGACTATCGCATGTTGCAACCCTAGCCTAGCTCAACGGCCCCTAGCTCAGCGGCTCTACACTGGTTCGAATCATCCGGAGCCAGTTGCAACACACCAGGTGCAGCACTCACTCTACTAGGGGGGATGCCTGCAGCAGCGACGTACATGTCGAGCTTGACCACCCACTGGGATGGCCACTGGGATGGCCTGCTGTACCCCTAGCCTCGCTCAGCGGCCCTACACTGGCTTGAATCATCCGGAGCCAGTTGCAACACACAGGTGCGGCACTCACCCTGTTGGGGGGATGCCTGCAGCAGCGACGTACATGTCGAGCTTGCCCACCGGAATGGCAATTGCCTGCACTCCCAGGTCTCCCAGTCTACAGCGCGGGAGGAGGAGCAGGTGTGGCAGCTTCAGCAACACTCACGACAGTACCGCCACTCACTCTGTTGGGAGGGATGCCTGCAGCAGCGACGTACATGTCGAGCTTGCCCACCGGAATGGCTATGGCCTGCACTCCCAGGTCTCCCAGCCCTAGCACCTTGCTGCCATCCGTCATCACAATCACATCCACCTGAAAGGGAGGAGAGGCGGGAGGAGGGAGACGAGGAGAATAAAGGGGGCAGAATAAACAACGACGCCGTTTGCAGATCAGGGCCACAAATCGGCTATGGCCTGCACTCCCAGGTCCAGCACATACAGTCCAGCACATACAGTCCAGCACATACAGTCCCAGCACATACAGTCCAGCACATACAGTCCCAGCACATACAGTCCCAGCACATACAGTCCAGCACATACAGTCCAGCACATACAGTTCCAGCACATACAGTCCAGCACATACAGTCCCAGCACATACAGTCCCAGCACATACAGTCCAGCACATACAGTCCCAGCACATACAGTCCCAGCACATACAGTCCCAGCACATACAGTCCCAGCACATACAGTCCCAGCACATACAGTCCAGCACATACAGTCCCAGCACATACAGTCCAGCACATACAGTCCAGCACATACAGTCCCAGCACATACAGTCCAGCACATACAGTCCAGCACATACAGTCCAGCACATACAGTCCAGCACATACAGTCCCAGCACATACAGTCCCAGCACATACAGTCCCAGCACATACAGTCCAGCACATACAGTCCCAGCACATACAGTCCAGCACATACAGTCCCAGCACATACAGTCCAGCACATACAGTCCCAGCACATACAGTCCCAGCACATACAGTCCCAGCACATACAGTCCCAGCACATACAGTCCCAGCACATACAGTCCAGCAAATACAGTCCCAGCAAATACAGTCCCAGCACATACAGTCCCAGCACATACAGTCCCAGCACATACAGTCCAGCACATACAGTCCAGCACATACAGTCCAGCACATACAGTCCCAGCACATACAGTCCCAGCACATACAGTCCCAGCACATACAGTCCAGCACATACAGTCCCAGCACATACAGTCCCAGCACATACAGTCCCAGCACATACAGTCCCAGCACACACAGTCCCAGCACACACAGTCCCAGCACATACAGTCCCCGCACATACAGCCCAGCACATACAGTCCAGCACATACAGTCCAGCACATACAGTCCCAGCACATATAGTCCCCGCACATACAGTCCCCGCACATACAGTCCCAGCACATACAGTCCCAGCACATACAGTCCCAGCACATACAGTCCCAGCACATACAGTCCCAGCACATACAGTCCAGCACATACAGTCCCAGCACATACAGTCCAGCACATACAGTCCAGCACATACAGTCCCAGCACATACAGTCCAGCACATACAGTCCCAGCACATACAGTCCCAGCACATACAGTCCAGCACATACAGTCCCAGCACATACAGTCCAGCACATACAGTCCAGCACATACAGTCCCAGCACATACAGTCCAGCACATACAGTCCCAGCACATACAGTCCAGCACATACAGTCCAGCACATACAGTCCCAGCACATACAGTCCCAGCACATACAGTCCCAGCACATACAGTCCAGCACATACAGTCCCAGCACATACAGTCCCAGCACATACAGTCCAGCACATACAGTCCCAGCACATACAGTCCCAGCACATACAGTCCAGCACATACAGTCCCAAAACATACAGTCCAGCACATACAGTCCAGCACATACAGTCCCAGCACATACAGTCCAGCACATACAGTCCCAGCACATACAGTCCCAGCACATACAGTCCAGCACATACAGTCCCAGCACATACAGTCCCAGCACATACAGTCCAGCACATACAGTCCCAGCACATACAGTCCAGCACATACAGTCCAGCACATACAGTCCAGCACATACAGTCCAGCACATACAGTCCCAGCACATACAGTCCCAGCACATACAGTCCAGCACATACAGTCCCAGCACATACAGTCCCAGCACATACAGTCCAGCACATACAGTCCCAGCACATACAGTCCCAGCACATACAGTCCAGCACATACAGTCCAGCACATACAGTCCCAGCACATACAGTCCCAGAACATACAGTCCCAGCACATACAGTCCCGGCACATACAGTCCAGCACATACAGTCCAGCACATACAGTCCCAGCACATACAGTCCCAGCACATACAGTCCCAGCACATACAGTCCAGCACATACAGTCCCAGCACATACAGTTCCAGCACATACAGTCCCAGCACATACAGTCCAGCACATACAGTCCCAGCACATACAGTCCAGCACATACAGTCCAGCACATACAGTCCCAGCACATACAGTCCCAGCACATACAGTCCAGCACATACAGTCCCAAAACATACAGTCCAGCACATACAGTCCAGCACATACAGTCCCAGCACATACAGTCCCAGCACATACAGTCCAGCACATACAGTCCAGCACATACAGTCCAGCACATACAGTCCAGCACATACAGTCCAGCACATACAGTCCAGCACATACAGTCCAGCACATACAGTCCCAGCACATACAGTCCCAGCACATACAGTCCCAGCACATACAGTCCAGCACATACAGTCCCAGCACATACAGTCCCAGCACATACAGTCCAGCACATACAGTCCAGCACATACAGTCCCAGCACATACAGTCCCAGAACATACAGTCCCAGCACATACAGTCCCAGCACATACAGTCCAGCACATATAGTCCAGCACACACAGTCCCAGCACATACAGTCCCAGCACATACAGTCCCAGCACATACAGTCCAGCACATACAGTCCCAGCACATACAGTTCCAGCACATACAGTCCCAGCACATACAGTCCCAGCACATACAGTCCAGCACATACAGTCCCAGCACATAGAGCCCAGCACATACAGTCCCGCACATACAGTCCAGCACTTACAGTCCAGCACTTACAGTCCAGCACTTACAGTCCAGCACATACAGTCCAGCACATACAGTCCAGCACATACAGTCCCAGCACATACAGTCCAGCACATACAGTCCAGCACATACAGTCCCAGCACATACAGTCCCAGCACATACAGTCCCAGCACATACAGTCCCAGCACATACAGTCCAGCACATACAGTCCCAGCACATACAGTCCAGCACATACAGTCCCAGCACATACAGTCCCAGCACATACAGTCCAGCACATACAGCCCAGCACATACAGTCCCAGCACATACAGTCCCAGCACATACAGTCCAGCACATACAGTCCAGCACATACAGTCCAGCACATACAGTCCCAGCACATACAGTCCAGCACATACAGTCCAGCACATACAGTCCCAGCACATACACTCCAGCACATACACTCCAGCACATACAGTCCAGCACATACAGTCCAGCACATACAGTCCCAGCAGATACAGTCCAGCACATACAGTCCCAGCACATACAGTCCAGCACATACAGTCCAGCACATACAGTCCCAGCACATACAGTCCAGCACATACAGTCCCAGCACATACAGTCCCAGCACATACAGTCCCAGCACATACAGTCCCAGCACATACAGTCCCAGCACATACAGTCCCAGCACATACAGTCCCAGCACATACAGTCCAGCACATACAGTCCCAGCACATACAGTCCCAGCACATACAGTCCCAGCACATACAGTCCCAGCACATACAGTCCCAGCACATACAGTCCCAGCACATACAGTCCCAGCACATACAGTCCAGCACATACAGTCCCAGCACATACAGTCCCAGCACATACAGTCCCAGCACATACAGTCCCAGCACATACAGTCCCAGCACATACAGTCCCAGCACATACAGTCCCAGCACATACAGTCCCAGCACATACAGTCCAGCACATACAGTCCAGCACATACAGTCCCAGCACATACAGTCCCAGCACATACAGTCCAGCACATACAGTCCCAGCACATACAGTCCCAGCACATACAGTCCAGCACATACAGCCCCAGCACATACAGTCCAGCACATACAGTCCAGCACATACAGTCCCAGCACATACAGTCCCAGCACATACAGTCCCAGCACATACAGTCCCAGCACATACAGTCCCAGCACATACAGTCCCAGCACATACAGTCCCAGCACATACAGTCCCAGCACATACAGTCCCAGCACATACAGTCCCAGCACATACAGTCCCGCACATACAGTCCAGCACATACAGTCCAGCACATACAGTCCCAGCACATACAGTCCCAGCACATACAGTCCCAGCACATACAGTCCCAGCACATACAGTCCCAGCACATACAGTCCCAGCACATACAGTCCCAGCACATACAGTCCCAGCACATACAGTCCCAGCACATACAGTCCAGCACATACAGTCCCAGCACATACAGTCCCAGCACATACAGTCCAGCACATACAGTCCCAGCACATACAGTCCCAGCACATACAGTCCAGCACATACAGTCCAGCACATACAGTCCCAGCACATACAGTCCCGCACATACAGTCCAGCACATACAGTCCCAGCACATACAGTCCCAGCACATACAGTCCCAGCACATACAGTCCCAGCACATACAGTCCCAGCACATACAGTCCCAGCACATACAGTCCAGCACATACAGTCCAGCACATACAGTCCAGCACATACAGTCCCAGCACATACAGTCCAGCACATACAGTCCAGCACATACAGTCCCAGCACATACAGTCCCAGCACATACAGTCCAGCACATACAGTCCAGCACATACAGTCCAGCACATACAGTCCAGCACATACAGTCCAGCACATACAGTCCCAGCACATACAGTCCAGCACATACAGTCCCAGCACATACAGTCCAGCACATACAGTCCAGCACATACAGTCCAGCACATACAGTCCAGCACATACAGTCCAGCACATACAGTCCCAGCACATACAGTCCCAGCACATACAGTCCCAGCACATACAGTCCCAGCACATACAGTCCAGCACATACAGTCCCAGCACATACAGTCCCAGCACATACAGTCCAGCACATACAGTCCCAGCACATACAGTCCAGCACATACAGTCCCAGCACATACAGTCCCAGCACATACAGTCCCAGCACATACAGTCCCAGCACATACAGTCCCAGCACATACAGTCCCAGCACATACAGTCCCAGCACATACAGTCCAGCACATACAG